GTTTTATACAGAGAGGAAGGGAGACGGATAGAGAGTTAGAAACATCGATCAGCTGCCTCCTGCACACCCCCTATTGGGGATGTGCCCACATCCAAGGTACATGCCTTTGACCGGAATCGAACCTGGGACCCTTGAGTCCGCAGGCTGATGCTCTATCCACTGAGCCAAACCCATTAGGGCTTTGGGGCTTTTTTTGTGTGTGTTTTTAACTTCCTCACGTTTAGCAGAGCCCCACTTGGATGTGCTGCTGGGTGCAGGGCATGAAGTCGGGATCTGAATGTAGGAACAGCAGGTGTGACCTGCAACAGCTGGGAGCTCAGGGCCCGGCGGGCAGCCTGGCGGCTCTGAATCCAGAAGCCACACGCGTGTTCCCTTTTTGGTGTGGTCCCTCTGGAAACCACACGGGCAGAAGCACCAGAAATGTCATGGATGTAAAAATCCACCACGAGAAAAATCAGAAACTTGTGCGACAAGCATTGGGGGGGTGGGGGGGGGGCGTGACAAGCGAAAAAGTCCTGAGATTGGAAAATCTCATTGTGGCCAAAACATAGCTGCTGGTGGGAGCTTCCAGCGACACTTCGGTGGGCGCCGGGGAACCGGGCGTGCGCCTGCCGGCATCCAGACTGCCGCTGTTCGGAATTTTGTGTAAAGAAGTTAACATCTGCCCGGCTGGCATGGCTCAATGGTTGAGTATTGGCCTACGAACCAGGAGGTCACAGTTTGATTCCTGGTCAGGGCACAGGCCCGGGTTGCAGGCTTTGATCCCCAGTAGGGGGCGTGCAAGAGGCAGCTGATCAATGATTCTCTTTCAACATTGATGTTTCTATCTCTTCCTCTCCCTTCCTCTCTGAAATCAATAAAATATATTTTCTGTAAAAAGAAGTTCACCTCACTCAGGCCATTATTCAAGTCCACCGATGTTTATTCGAGGATATTGGCGGCATGAATGATTCATAAAAGCAAAGACTCGGTTTAGAATTTCATTGAACGTGCCATCAAAAATAATACTTGGTTTCCTTGGGACATTTCAGGAGAATTTAAGAAACAAAACAGAACATTTGGTGAGAAAACACCATGCTAGTGTCTAGAAGGCTTTTCCTAAGAATCTGGAAATATCTCTGAATCTTTTCCAGGTACTTTATCATCTAAAAAAAAAAAAAAGTTACATTCCAAAGCAGTGACCTCTGGAAGTGCAGAGACCTCAGCTCCCCGCGGGTCTGTGTTCCAGGGCCTGTCTGTCTGCGACACTCACCTCAGCCGCTGATAAGATTGCAGGATTTTAGCCCCGGCGGTCTCGCGCCTGCCTGGAGAGATACCGGCAAAGGCCCGTGTCAGTGAGGGTATAACTCAGACGGTGCAAATGCAAGAAGGAATAAAGTGACTATTTTTCTAATGTCACGTCTTACAATGAAAATGTAAGATTTGGAGGGGTAGCAATGCTCTGAAATTAGATTGTGGTGATGACTTCATAACTATAAATTTACTTTAAAATCATTAGATTACGCACTTAAAAGAGATGAAATTTATGCTATCTAACATATATTCCAGTAAAGCTATTGTTACACACACACACTCACACACACACACAAAGAGACCATAATAATTGCTGGGAATGGCTGCTTTTATTAAAAGTCGATATTGGATTCGATTTTCTAAATCTGGAGAATTTGAAAAATAGTTCAGGCTTCCAAGCTTCTATTTTGTTCTCTGGAAGTATTTTATAATTGAATGACTATATTCCCTTTAAATGTTCCTTGTTGTGGAGCTTAAATTAATCTTTTAAAAAATGTAATCTCCTTATTTCTAGCTATAGAGGCTAATAATTTCCTAAACAAGACAGCTTCTAACACAGAGCTCTTTTTGTTCCAAGGAAAGGGGATTTATGATGTATTAAGACCCCAAGATAGAGCTTCGTGTGGTCAGAGTTCTGTGAACACAGTGTTCCCTGGCCCAGTGTGTGGGGGGAGCCGGGAGGCAGCCCGACACCAGCAGAGCCACCCGCCTGCTGTCCAGGGGTCCGTGCAGCTCCCGTCCTGAGCGTTCGGGAGGTTTGACTCCAAAGAACGGCACGTATTCAAATCCTCTCCGTAAGACAGGAGGAAGGGCAGGTGGTGAGAGAAGCAGGGCGGGCAGGGAGGCCTTTGGGAGGGGGGCAGACAGTGTCTGACATTCAGTGAGCTGCCCCCTGACCCCCAGCCGACCCTGAACTGTGCAGCCCTGGGCAGGGTCCTCCACTGGGCGGGCCTCAAGGAGGCGCAGGCCCTGCCAGCATCTCAGATGCGGAGCCCCTGCCCGCGCACATTTTCCGGGGTTCGTGGTGCTCACCAGATTCTGAAAGTCTGCGTGCCCTCCCCCATGAAGACACACGCCCTGAGACCGAAACGAGCTAGCAAGGCCAGCCTGCAACGGCGAGGCCACATCCGCAGGAGCCACCGAGAGGAAAGGTTCCCGCCAGCGGCGTCACGGCGGCTGTGACAGCAGAGAGCAAATGGGCAAGAGGGAGAAAAACAGCAACGTGGCTCTCCAGCCTGGCCCCGCAAAGCTCGGATCCCAGGCACAGCACGGAGCCCTCCCGCGGTCGGGCTGTCACCTGCACTGCGGCTGCTCTGCCTCATCCTCTGGACCCTGGATTGTTTGTTGCAACAGCATCCCAGGGGCACAGCCACCAGAGTTACAGTCCGTCCCCCCAGATGCGATGCTATCACTCTACCACCTAACGCCCCTCAGTGGCTCCCTATTGCCTCCTCCTGAAGTCCAAGCCCTACACAGCATTCCTGGGCCTCCGCACCCGCCTGGCCTCACCTCTCTGCCTGCTTGCCGACACCCTGCAGGCCTTGTCTTTCTGCTCCAGCAACAGAATCGCTTCTGACTGCCCTACTTACCCCAGGCCTTGCTTACTCACTCCTACCTATCCCCACTTTATCTCGTGTTAATTGCCCAGGCATTTCTACCTTAGGCCCATATCATAGCTTCCTCTCCCTCTGCCACATTTCTAATTACCCAACCTGAGGTCAACACTGGCCTGGAAACAGCTCTCTGCTGCCCCCTGCTGGCTATTTCACCCTTGGCCTATGTATGAACTGGGTGCAAGCTTTCTTTTTTATTTTTTAATCTATTTTTATTTTTTTAATAAAAAATATTTTTATTGATTTTGAGCGACAAAGGGAGAGGGAAAGAGAGATAGAAACATCAATGATGAGAGAGAATCATTGATCGTCTGCCTCCTGCACACCCCCTACTGGGGATTGAGCCCATAACCTGGGCATGTGCCACTGCCCAGTATTAAACCCCGGACCCTTCAGTCTGCAGGCCGACGCTCTAACCACTGAGCACCCCGGCTAGGGTGGGTGCACCCTTTCTGTAAAGGTCAACTAGTAAACATTTGAGGTTCCCTGCCATGTAGGGTCTCTGTTCCAAGTACTTAACTGCCCTGTGACAGCAGTCCGACAATATGAAAGAGTGGTGAGTCTGGCATCTGACAAAACTGGACATTGAAACTGAGTTTCACGTACTTTCTATGTCACGAATATTCTTTTGACTTTTTGACCATTTAAAAATGTGAAACCCATTTTTAGCTTAGCTCACAGGACATACAGCAGGCAGAGGGCCCGGTTGGGCTGACGGGTTCTAGTGTGCCGTGTCCCTGCTGTCCCAGGTGTGGGCCGGAGGTCTCCCCAGCTCCAGGGGGCCAGGGGTCTCCCCAGCTCCAGGGGGCGCTCCTCAGCAATGCAGAGCCCCTGGCCCCGCCCTGCAGAATCGGAACCTGGTGCTGAATCTCAGAAGCCTGCCCAGGAGCTCTGTCCGATTTGCCATTTATTTTCAGTTTCTTTCTCTTCTATTCCTCAGATGTTTCTTACACTCCATTTCTTTAAAAAGCACTAAATGTTTACTTTTTGTTAAAGGAGATAGCGCACAGCCATGACTCACAGCCGATGCCTTCCCACAGCGCGAGCATCAGTGAGAGGTGGACAGTCCTGTTGGCAAAAAGTCTCTCTCATCTGTGCCTGCTGACACCTGCAACCCGGGCCTGTGCCCTGACCGGGAATTGAACCACGACCTCCTGGTTCATAGGTCGATGCTCAACCACTGAGCCACGCCAGTGGGGCAATATTGTCGTTTTTCTGCTTTAAAGCTCAAATATTAAGCAACAAAAACGCCCTGGCTGTAAAATACTCGCAGTTACAGCACGGAGCCAGAAGAGGGCGCTATCTCTATATGCTTAGCAAGTACCAAGGGGATTAGAATAAATGTCTTGTTTCAGGTTTCTGGGTACCAGTGATCTAGAAAATGACCATCGCACCTGTGCATTAGCTTTGCTACTTTCCCGGTGGCTCTCAAACTTGAAGTGCGTGAAAACAATCACTTGGGAACTTGGGAAATATACACTCTTGGGCCCCACCTGGTCCCACGGAGTCAGGAACTTTGAGGTGAAAATAGTTCAGAGCTGACCCCGGAGCCAGGGTCCCAGAAGCCCCAGGAAACACCTTCTGTGCAGATTGCCAGGTGCCTGGCGGCGGAGGGGTGGAGGGGCGGAGGGCACAATACCGGGGTGCAGGCCAGCACCTACGTTCCCACCTTTTTCACGCACCACAGAGAAACCATGACGACGGCGTGTGAGGAACTGTTTAAAGACAACACTAAATATTGAATTATAAAATCTTAGAGGGGGAAAAACAGTCTCTAATCAGAAAAGAAATGAAGGAAAGGAGAATGTTTAAATGCTTTATGTACCATCTCCCTGCAAAATAAGGAATTGGGGCTCAGTTTTCCTGTTTCCGAATCTTTTTAATGGTTGGAGAATTAGCATAACAAGCTGCCACAATTCATCTTGATTCTTCTTCTTTGGATTATTACTTATACCTTCCCTACTTTCAAGGACATTTTTGGAGCAATTATTGTAAATGGCACATATCCAATTAGATCATTAAAACAGAGGTAAGTAAAAGCATCTGGCATGATGATGGAATTACTCCAACTGGACTTTAAATTTGGCTCTAGGTTTCTGGGTGCCAAAAGAGAAAAGAACTCCGGCTTTTCAGTTTTAGGTGCCTACTAGGTGCTAATTCTGACAATGGAAGCTACCACACAGAACATCACATTTTATCTCCAAACAACCTATCCTTACTTTTCCATTCACGTACTCATTTGCTCACAGCTCCTACCCTCCAAGAACTGAAAACCTGGTTAGGACAGAGGACCAAGAGTTGCAGGCGGCGAGCGCAGCATTAGTGTGGTGTCCACGGGACCGAGACCCCGGGAGCTCAGGGCTCAGCGGTGCCGATGACTGGCCCTGGGTTATAAGCCAGCGGGAAAGGGGCTGACCACATAACAAACGCTACTGGGAACACTGGTGATGGGCAGAAAAAATCAGATCAGGCCCCTGACGCCTGGTGAAGACTTAAATGTAAATGAGCTCATAACAATGAGGAGAGAAGCCTGGCCACCGTGTCGATGACAGGATCAGGAAGAAGTCTCTACGCATAAAAGCAGAGAAAGAACTTCTACAGGAAAAGGTGGAATTGAACACAAACAAGAAAAGCTTCTGCATGTCAGCAAAGGTGCGCGGTACAGCATACACGACTGAAAAGGGCTGAGAGCCCCTACGTCTACCGAGAGTCAGAGCAGCGGAAATGGCCCGTCGCAATAATCAGGCGATTCCAACGGAAATAACAGGGGAGCATCGGGGGCCACCAGAGTGGTTTCACTGTGTTGACAGAGTTGTTTGCTTTTAAGGGTAATTCCTGCTGGTGACAGAGGTGCACGCGTTCCGAGGTGGTGTTCCTAACGCTTTCTTTCCTTCTGTTTCTAGAACTCTCCAGAGATGTGCCGAAGACCGCTCTCCAAGGGTGTTCACTGCACTTTACTGTTACTTTAATAATATGACAAACTCCCAAAAATGTTACAGCAAAACTGGAAATTCCCTAGCTATCCAACAACAGTGATGATGATATTATGTGAAGAGATATCAGAATACGTCTGTATAGATCATTTGATCCCAATTATATAGATATATTAGTTTGGCTCATATAAAATTTCCTCTCTATTCATCATTTTTACCTAAAAATGTACATACAGACTCACCAATGTAGCTGCATATATTCACCAAAGAACAGAAATGATATCTACCAAAATGTCAACAATAATTCTCAGGGTGAAGTCACTGTGTTTTCAATGTTACTGTTTATGCTTTTCTCCATTTGTCCATTTCTAAAATGAATCCGTATTACCTTTACATTCAGAACAAAATCACAAATGTAATTTGAAATCCTGTCTCAAGGGACAGGACTTAAGAGGGCAGCTCATGCGCCCTGCCAGGGGGTGCCCGGGCACACACTGCCCAGAGGGGAACCTGGAAAACATCAAAGCCTTTCAACCAGTCATTCTTCTAAGAAGCCACTGACGGACACAGACAGAGATGCCGACGTCCACCACACAGTCATCTGTGACGTGAAAGTCCGAACACGGCCGCTCGCTGACCAGAGGGCCCGGCTGAACACGTGGGAGCGCATCCCAGCCGTCAACATACGTTGGGAGAAGTCTCAGTAGCACAGGGACATGCTTACGCTAAATTAAATTATAAAGCAAGATGGAAACCTGCAGATAGTCACACGTGGTGATTCTTGCCTCCCGCCCTGCAGAGAGCTGGCCTGTGCAACCTTGGGCTGGGGCAGCAATGACGGGGTGAGCTCCCAAGTGAAGCCATGTCGACAGAGACAGACACAGTAGGAGAGAGGTTCCAGGGGCTTTGGGGAGGGGCTGGGGGACAGGAGTTACTGCTTAATGGGCACGAGAGTGTCGGTGTGGGAGGATGGAAAGTTCTGGAGACGGATGGCGGTGATGGTTGCACAGCAGTGTGACTGCACTTAATGTCACTGAACCGTACGCCTAACTGTGGTTAAAATGGTACGTTTAACGTTGCATGTGTTCCACCACAGTAAAAACCATTGTTAAGGTGCCGCGGTGCCCTGTCTTCGTCTCTCTAGGATCAACAGCTGGAAGCCGGCGCCTGGCCGCGGGGGGGGGGCA